TCTCTCTGCCTATTCTACGAATATTTTAACTGCCCAGATGATCTTTTTTCCCCCCATGCATGAATTTAAGCATACTACTAGGTCCCACCATTTTACTGTTGAACTAGCTAGATGCAACCATCATATCTACTCTAACAGTTTTTTCTCACACTTCCCACATGTGTAACTCCCTTCTGATTTCTTGCTTCCCTGTCAACTACAATCTTCAAAAATTTAAGTACAATGTCAGTTGCCATCTTCTATCTTCTTGAAGTCTGTTTCGTTTTTGCCCTTTCCTCAATCCTCCCCCATTTTCAATCTTCTCATTCATTTTCACCCACTGTGTTGCTTTGCTTGGTGGTGAAATGATTTTTAAAAAAAATATGCTGATCTCATTTTGTCTTTAGAAGTTTCTAATGAGAAATAAATTCCAGGAATTGTGGCAGAATGAATATTTTCTGAGTTTGAAAATTGTAAAGATCTGCAGGAAATCAAAATTGATGATATAATGCTAATTAGTAATCCATCCGAACCTTGACCTTACTGGTATCTGTCAAGAATTGTGAAACTCGTTCCAGGGGTTGATGACAATGTTCGTTCAGTTTATGTCAAGAGAAGCAATAGATCGAGGAGGCACGGTGGAGTAATGGATAGCAGCTTGGATTGAGGAATTGGAGAGCTGAGTTCGAATTCCACTTGAATCCATTACAGTGTGAATCCTCTTCTCCCTCCAGACTGGGTTCTACAGCCTTGGATGGCAACTGGTCTAGGAGAAGGAAAACTCTGAATTCAAAACCTGTAGAGGGTCATTTGGGGACCTTGTGGCACGTAGTGCACCAGGTCTCTGTATTCGGCCCTTTAAAAGTGTGGATGGTCCTACACGAAAACTTCACCACTATAATCAAATCTCATGTGCTATACATGTGGGTTTGGGGACTGCTTGTGAATTCCAAATTCCCATGAAACTCCAATATTGGAGCTGACTCAACCCACTTCGGGTGAATGACATTACAAGTAGTAGTAGTAGTAGTAGTAAGCAATAGATCAATACAAACCCATTCCATCAAGCATCTATATCCATTAGAATTATCCCAGACAAAAGACCCTAAATCAGGTGTCTGAAGAACAGAATTGGGGGGGGACTTCCTTACTTTGCTCAATTCATCAGTAAAAGAAATAATCAGCAGAGTACAACCAGAAACCCATAAAAAATGCTGACCTAGTCTTATTCCACGTTTTTCCCCACTTTTCTATTTCAGTGGCCTCTACCTTCATGACCAGCTCTTTTTCACTTTTCCCTTTCAGCAGTCGCAACCTTCAAGCCCAACTAGATGGACTACTCAAATTCCTTCCTGTGTTAGACAAAGCCTATCCTGGTACCTAGGCTTCAGATATCTTTTTACCTTTGGTGGGAACTGGCAGAGAAATCTCCCTTTGAGATAACTATATAAAAAAAAAAAAAAAAAAAAAAAAACACACACACACCCTGCAAACAAGACTTGTAACAGTCCTTACACTCAGATTTCTTGTTCCTCCCGTGGGAACTAGCAGAGAAATCTCTATGAAACATCTACTCAAGGGAAGAACTTTGTTAATTCGGAAAGCCCACTTTTTTCCTGCTATTTTGCAGTATTTTTCAACCAGAAATAAAGCTGTTGAACAGTTATTTTGAGCCTTGGGTTTTGTTCATTTCACTCTCACTGATGAGCATGCACACAGGAAAAATTTCTGCATCAAATTATGCTTAATGGTATTTGAGGTATCTGTCCAGCCTCAAGTCCTAAATGATACCAATTCTTCATTACCTGGACAATCATTTTTGTCTTTGAAATCTTGTCTCTTTCCTAATTTCTATTCTTTTATCTTTCATTTCAACATCATCATCCTCTTTTTTGTTACATTTATTAAAATATTTAACAAACCAAATATATTTAATATCATTAAATAGTAATAACTGTTACCTAGTTTTAAAAAAAAAAAAAAAAAAAAAAAAAAGATCCTTTTGCTTAAGACTTAACAAACTGACTAAAGTACTAAGAAACTAATTGACTGTTATTTAATTGGGCCAAAAGTTCTTCAGTTTAATAAAACATGAAAGTATTTTTAATTTATTTTTTTTGTCTAAACTATTTACCTCCCACCCACATGAACTATTATCCTCATCTTGGTTTTGAGTCCTATTTTCTTTGTTGGACTGGTCTTCACTAACCTGTTGTATTTGGTAGTATTCTGGAAACTGAACTCTTGGAGCATGTAATATTTCATTCGTCTCCAAATATTAAAGTCATTTCTCTGGGTAGAGTAGAGATGGTGCTATGTCTGGGGGTATCAGTCATACAAGAAACATCTGACAAGAGTTCCTCAGCAGAAAAATAAATAAATTAATGATAGAATTTATGATTATTTAAAACAAAACAAGAAACATGAATGGGTTTTTTCAAGTTTTATTATTTTTTTTTTTGTCATAAAATGTTAGAAATCAAATAAGTTTCTTGATTCAAAAATAAAATAAAAATTGAAGAAACTTAGTTCAGTCAGAAGAGAAATTAGTTTTGGACTTTTTACAAATCAGTACCAGCATCCCTCAAGACGTCCCAAGAGAAAAATGTCTGAGTGACTGTGTGTATATGCACTCATGAAAAAGGAAAAGGAGAAAGAAAAAGGAACTTAAGATAAAAAGAAATTTTATGTTCAATAAAGCTATTAAAAACTTTTTAAATCTTGTGTGTGTGTGTGTGTGTGTGTGTGTGTGTATATATATATATATATATATATATCAGCACTGAAAGTTTAAATGTAGTAGGTCAACCTAGACTATATTTCCATTTCTTCTCACACAAGGCTAATTTATATCATTCCAAATTCAATTTGATTCACCCAAAGTGAACGTAAAATATTGAAATTTCAAAAGTAGAAATTTTACAAAATGATAAAAATAGAAATAAAAAACATGTATATTCATAATTCAAATTTACTGTTTTGGGTTTTTTTTTTTTTATAATTTTGTGAGAACTGGAACAGCAGGATGACCAAAATTGTAAAAAAAAAAAAAAAAAAAAAAAAAAAGGAACAGTTCCATTGGATCAAACTTCATTAAATAAAATCGTTCTATTTTTCAATTTTAACAGAAATTTAGACAATGAAACTGGCATATCAAAAAATAAAGCATTGGAAATTTAAACAAATTAATTTCAACTTACAATTTCCATTTGCTTCTAGGTTCAAGTTAATTAACTCTAACCTATAATTTTGAATCCTTGAAAATGTTAATACCTAATTTTCAGGACACAAATTTACCCTGATTATATATGATTTCACTTTTTGTTTCTGGTTTGCCTCCAGTGTGACATTATAAGAAATTAGATTTTTAATATTGAGACTATTTCTGAACAATTCTTCTCAAATTATTAACACATTTTAAATATTCAATGACTTAGAAATTTCATTCTAGAAAAATAAATAAATTCTAACTGAACATGATATGCCAACATCATTTGATTGTAATAACCAAAGGAAAGAAATGGAAGTTCCTTTTCTTTTCTTGGGAGTTGGGGAGGGCAAAAGTTAGAACTTAAGTTGGTATTATATAGATTAATTTGTTCATCAAAACAAAAGCAAAATGCAGAGGAGGAGGAGGAGGAAAGCAAAATAGAACTGAATTCAAATCCAATGATGGCGAATAAAGGGAGAGAACAAGGTAAATCGTGAAGAATTCTTTCAAACAAGGGAGACTATTTCGATGCTCTTTTTCTACAATATGTAAAAACATTTTGTGCCTCCAAGGCCAAACACAGTTATGCATCAGCTTCAATTGAAACTGTTTTTCTTGCCTGACATTTTATAATCTTGAATATCACAAGTTTTACAAATATACAAATATCCCAGCTCCCATAGGCAAAGGAAATGAAACCCTTGCATTTACCCCCACAACCTGGGCACTGGAAAAAAAGAAAAAAAAGTTATTGAACAAGACAGAAGTTTGACTCATGACTGCATTGTTTTTGTAAACTTCAGAAGAAAAAAAAAAAAAAAAAAAAAGAATTGTATTTTTGCCTCGAACAGGAGTTGTGTATGAATAACCCACTATAGATGTCTTGCCATTTATAGATAAAAAAAAAAAATTAAATGTGATTTGTTCACAAAATTATTAGCCAAGACCTGGCAACCAAAAATAATGTACAGTTTTACAGATTTTCATTCAGCTTATTGTGGTTAGAAGTGTGCCAGTTAGAGCTCAAAGAACAGGTAACAGCCCTGATAAATTCCACCCAAATTTACTCATCCCATTTCTCTGTAGCCATTTTTATTTTGTCTTAAAGACATTAATTTTTTTTCATTAAACAAAAAAAAAAAAAAAAAAAAAAATTAATATAAGTCACAAAATTTTTATTCTAAATGTTTATATACAAAAGACCCCCCCACCACCACCACAAATACTTCTCTTGTCTTAAAAAAAAAAAAAAAAAAAAACTTTCTGCTTTTAGATAGAAATTAGATTTTTTTTTTTTTTTTTTAAACTCTTCCAAGATTTGAGTTAGTCTCTTATTTTTTTTCATCTCAAATCATCTTTTACTATCAATATGCAGACAGGCCGGGGGGGGGGGTAGTTTTGGATAGCACACAGATTTGAAATCAGTTTTAGATTAAATAAAAATATTTCAAGAAAGAAGAGAAGAAAAGAGAAAAAAGAAAACATTAAAAAAAAAAAAAAAAAAAAAAAAAAAAAAGAACAAATCAATAGAAAAGACAGAGCCATTGATTAAATGAGGCTTGTGTTTACCAACTGTTAAAATATTCAACTAGTAAAAATGTCCCATGTATTGATGTATATAAAAATATGTATAAAGGGTTGATTTCTCCACTTCCTTATTTGGTCCAGAGTTTTCAATATCAAAAACACATCAGGGCTTTGTTGTTATTGTTGTTTTGTTTATTGGTGCAGCAGCCTTAAGATGTTTTCTGTTTTTTTTCTCTTGCTCTAATGATACAAAGTCTTTCTATTTGTTTATAACAAAATAATTTCATGTGTCTTTGTCATCATCAGTTGGGCTGTACATTGGGCTGGCAGGAGATGGCTTTGGAGAACTTGGAGAATACGTTGGACTTGTTGGAGAATATTTAGGGCTAGTAGGAGAATACTTGGGGCTGGTAGGAGAATACTTGGGGCTAGAAGGGCTATATGTTGGGCTAGTTGGTGTGTACCTGGGGCTAGTAGGACTTGTAGGGCTATATGTTGGACTGGTGGGGCTATAGGTGGGACTAGTTGGAGAGTACTGAGGAGATGTTGGACTGTACTCTGGAGATGTGGGACTGTATTTAGGTGAGGTGGGAGAGTATGTAGGTGAGGTGGGAGTGTATTTTGGACTGCTTGGTGAGTAGGCAGGGCTTGTAGGAGAATATTTTGGAGAAGAAGGTGAGTACTGGGGAGATGTTGGAGAATATGAGGGGCTTGTGGGAGAGTATGAAGGGCTTGTGGGAGAGTACTTAGGACTGCTTGGGGAATAACTGGGGCTGCTTGGGGAATAGCTTGGACTTGTGGGGCTGTAGCTGGGAGAACTGGGGCTGTAGCTAGGGCTGGTCGGTGAGTAGCTAGGGCTAGTGGGGCTGTAACTAGGACTGGTAGGACTGTAACTGGGGCTGGTGGGGCTGTAGCTAGGACTGGTGGCACTGTAGTTAGGTGATGATGGGGAATAACTTGGACTGGCAGGACTGTAACTGGGACTAGTAGGAGAATAAGAGGGTGAAGTTGGGCTGTAAGAGGGACTTGTAGGCGAATATGAAGGTGATGTTGGACTGTAAGAGGGACTGGTAGGAGAGTAAGACGGAGAAGTAGGGCTGTAAGAAGGGCTTGTTGGTGAATAAGAGGGAGAGGTTGGGCTGTAAGAGGGACTTGTTGGAGAATATGAAGGACTTGTTGGAGAATAGGAAGGTGATGTTGGACTATAAGAAGGGCTTGTAGGAGAATAGGAGGGGGATGTTGGGCTATAGCTTGGTGAAGAAGGAGAATAACCAGGGCTTGTTGGTGAATAAGATGGGCTTGAGGGTGAATAGCCTGGACTGTGTGGTGTCATTGCTGGGGATGCTGGTACATAAGCAGGTGAAGTTGGAGAATAGCTGGGTGACATAGCTCCACTAGGGCTTGGAATGTAAGGGCTGCCTGGTGAAGAAGGTGAACCACTTGGTGGAGACCAACAAGGGCTATAGCCAGGGCTGTAACCACTCTCACTGGCAGCTGAAGGTGAGAAGCCAGCAGCCCCTGGTGTCATACCACTGCCAATGGCAGGTGACCAAGAACCAGGGTAGCCAGGTGTTGCTCCAGTAATCCAAGGGGTCATTTCTGGAGAAACTTGATTCATTGGGCTACTGCCGGAGCCATAAAACATTCCAGATCCAATTCCTGGAAAAAATAAAAATAAAATCTTTTTAGTATGAATAGGAACATGCATGTCTATTTGAATCCCTTTAATATTACATGTATTATAATTTTTTTTTTTTTTTTTAATATTAACTGAAGGGGTGCCTAGATTGGCCATTAAGTGTAATGTTGTGGCAAACACATATCAGTACAGATGATGAAAAAAAAGACCCTAAGATATGTCTGTCAAAGACCGTCACATCTTATTTTCAACATTAGCAGCATAAGAGCTTGATATATCCAGATATAGGCCTTTTTTAACTATGTCAATAAAAGCAATGGGAAAACCAGCAATCAGTCGTCCTGCTTTTGGCAAGGCTTGCTTTGCTATTGCCAGAGATTCAGTGTCTTGTAAAAATGTTTCCATGGCACATTTTGTTGCAGAAGTTATGTACCACCCGCCATGGTTTTATTTCTTTGTCTATCTCTCCTTCCTCTGCCTGTTCCTCCTTAATTGTTAAGAGAACAATCTATTACCTGTTAAGTCCCTCACCCCAAACCCGACACACCCTTGCCTTATTTTTCTACAAATGTCAATTCAGTTCTTATTTAAAGAATTCATAGAATTATTTGCAAATAAAGGGAGCCTACTCCTTGATTAACCAACACGACATTTTAAATTAGCTTAATTCCCAAAATCAGCAAGAGTTTTATGATAAAGTGCAAAAATGTTCATTTTAAAAAGTGAGAAGGTTTGCATGAAATAATATTTCATGTTCTTTTTTTATTTAAAAACTGTCTAAAAGTATACAATAAAAATATATTAAAAGAAAAAAAAAAAAGTATTATTTTATGCAGCAATTATTAATCTTTATTCTTTCTTTTTCATCCTATTCTCTTTACACCTTTTGACAAACATAAAATCAGATTATTGGGGTTAGTGCAAACACGCAAACATTAAGTTTAGGTACCTCCATTAGGTCATGTAAAAAAGCAGCATATCACAACGAAAAAAGGTCCATAAATCAACGGAAAAGTTTTGTCTCAATATGTTTATGTTGTTATGAAGAGGAAAGACCAAAGTATTTTTTTTTTTTTTTTTTACTCCTTAGCATGTTAAAAATTGTTTTTTTTTTATGACAGCGCAGTAAGAGAAAAAAAAGGTTTGTTTTATTTTGTGCTTTTCACCGAGGAAAACACATTAATTTAGGAAATTCTTGCAAAAAAACGAATAATGAAACTTTCAGGACTTATTCAGAAATGAAATTATTTTTGAAATTTTTTTTTTTTTTTTTTAGAAAATCTTGTTAAAAAGATTTTTTTTTTTTAAACATGTTTCCACCCACTTACATATTTTCATGAAATTTCAAGAAATTAAATCTTTGCACACGGGATTTGTTTTACTAGTTATAAACAGGACTCTTTATAGAAAGTAAATCAGTTTTTTTTTGTAAAACAGTTACAGGTTTCATAAAAAATCTGCTCTGAATTATAAAAAAAAAAAAAAAAAAAAACGTAAAAAGTATGACATTAATTAATTAGAAAAGCTTTCACCTGTTTTTGTAAATATGTTATATTAAGGACATTTTGTGAAGAAGTAAAATTTTTTCGATGAATAATATATTTTTTACAAATTTTTTTTCCCCATTTTTTTCATTAACTTAAATTCATTGCTTTTATAACGCTAATGAAAAAAGTAAATTTACAAATTGAAATTTGAAAAGCACATAAGTCATTTGTACCTGAATATTTTAAAAATAATTTTGAAAAAAAAAACGTTCATAATTTCTACATATGGAAATGTATACATGACATAATCCTTAAAAAATTTTAAACAATTATCTAAATAAAAAACTTTAAACAATTATCTAATTAAGAAAGTATGAAATAAAAAATAGATATTACATAATTGCCGAATAAAAATGTTAATATTTAAAAAGTACTAGTTAAAACGAAAAACCACATTCGCTTACTTTGCAAAAATTGTCAATTTTGATCATCCATAGTAATCTGTCATCACCTCGTCACAATCAATTTCTTTGATAAATTCAGACATCGTTAAATGTTTGGATACAAATTTTTATGCTATAAGTAAGTACTGTTTGTTTCACATCAGATTAATTTAAATTTAAATTTTCTAATTTTACTCAAATAACATGTCAAAAATATATAAATTTATTTTAGGAAGAAGTTTAAAATCAATTTTGTTTTTGTTTACAAATTTCTTAAAATTTAAGAAAATGGCCGCTTTTAAGAAATTTAAACAAAAATTGAGCATATATTTGACATTCCAATCTATATAATTTCTATCTGAAAGACACCAGAATATGTTACTTACTGTAAGTAATAAATTTAATGCTTTAGCTTTCAATTAATAACAACATATTGAGGCAAAACTTTGTTTCCATTGATTTATGAGCTTTTCATCGTGATATGCTTTTTTATGTGACCTAATGGAGGTACCTAATTAAGTTGCAATTTAAACTGAAAATTTCTTCAAGCTGGAGCATTTTTACAAAAAAGTTTCATTATGGTTTTTGCTGTTATAATAAATTCACAAAGAAATCTGATAAAACTAAGTGTGGTAGTCTTTAAATTAGAGAAAATAAAATTTATAAAACTGGAGAATCAGATTCAAATTTAATTTCAACCAATTCTTCATATTTTACATCATTGAACTGTAATCAGTGATGTAAAAAAAGCCAATCTATAATTGGAGGCAAACATTGCTTTTTTAATTCAATAATCTCTGCCCACCCCAAATCAAATGACCCCAGAAATTAAAATAAGAACTTTTTGCACTTTTAACAAATTTATAAAAGCTTAGAGCGGGGGAAAAAAAAAATCCTGAACACAATCAAAATTTAAAATGCTGTGCAAATTAGAAGAAAGGGTAGTTAGGGGGCTTACCTGTTCCAAGCATTCCTGGTCCAACATTGGTAGGAATTTCCATTCCATATTTACATTTTTCCGCATCCAGAAGTAAATCAAAACTGCCTGTTCCAATGCGAGCCAACTGACCAACCATGATGTTTTCAGAGACTCCTTTCATTGGATCAATTTCAGAGTGGGATGCGGCTTCCATTAAAATATCCACCTTGGATAAAAAAAAAATAAAAATTAGCATTTCAACATTTAGTCTTCCAAAATTTAATTCTTTTTGTTGAACAGAAATTTCTATACAATCATGTGAAAAAGTTAAAACAAGCCATCAAAACTTGTCTTTGCCAACATTTAAAACATAGATAATTGATATTCATTTGAGCATTTTGAAATTAATTATGTCAGAAAATTTAAACTGATGTGGGCCATGCAACATGACAATAACCCAAAACATTGCAGTAATTCTATCAAAGAATCTCGTTAAAAAGAAAATGAAGAGTTCTGAAATGGCTAAATCAAGGCCCGGATTTTAAAATCTATTGAGATACTATGGGAGCAATTTGATGGCTGTCTATGTAAGATATCCCTGTCAAATATCTTACAATTGAAAGAATTCTGGATGGAATAGAAGGATAAACTTTCTCTTAATCCAATATCAGAGACTAGTAGACAGCTGAGGAAATATCCGACATCATTTCAGCCAAAGGGGGAACAATACCAGCAATTAGGGAATTGGGTCTCCTAACTTTTCCTTAACAGGAAATACTATTTAGGTTCAGGTTTTTTTGTTTGTTAAATAAATGATAATGTAATGTTCATTTTTTTGTTTCATTTCATGACTTCAGTTTTAGTCTAAAAGATCAAATACTGCTGTATCCGTTATATTAACAAATAACTACATACTTCTTGGTGTCCTAAGTTTCTTCAAATGACCATATTTTGGATAGTAATAAAACAAACAAACTTTTTAACCAATCTTGACAAATGAGGGTGGGGCAGAAGGGGAATAAAAAAAAGATGCTTACAGTTTCTTCAAAGGAGCATCGAGCAAGTGCTCCGGTTTCTTGTCTGTTCACACCGTGACGGGTGATGGCCATCAAGTGACCTTTGGCTGTCATCACATCACACAACAAGGCCAAATGTCGATAGTTGACATAAGAACCATCAAAAGAGATGACGTGGTTCATTTCCTTTTCAATTGATTTTCGGACAGCTTCAATTCCAAGTGACTGTACACACAGAATAAACAAAAGTCAATGATAGTTAAAAAAAAAAAAAAAAAAAAAAAAAGCATCACAAGTTATGACCAGGTGGTAATTTATATTGTCACAACATTCAGAATGAACAAGTGTTAATTTACTAAAATCTTGTAAGTACAGTAGAAAATCTTGTTCCAATGCAACAATGTTGAGCCATTTAAAATTTCCGATTTCAATATGCAAGACACCAATTATGAAGATTTTAATTTGATTCCAAAATGGAATTTTTATGCATTTTTTTTTTTTCTATGTGTGTAGAATGATTAAAAGATGGAAAAAATAAAAAATAAACCAACCGAGAAAATTTCGACAATATCATTGGATGTAGAGCGCACTTTGTCGACATCTTTTTCACTGATAACTTTCATCAGGGCAGTACCGTCAGTCTCAAGAATCCATTCAGCTACAGCTTTGAATTCACCATCCTCAGTGATGTGGATTCTTTTCTTGTCATCAGTCGTAGGCAAGTGCATGTACACCTGTGCAAAAAACACAACAGCAAAATTAAGAAAAAACATTTTCTCTTTAAATTTTTCCAAATTCTCTTTTGGGATTTAATTTTTCTGTCCATACAACTGACAATGTTTTATTCAACATTTCCTGTGACAATTTCCAGGTTTGTACAAACAGGCATGCAACACAAAAAATGGAAATCATTTAACAATAAACATTATTACCAAACAGAACATAACATTGTATGTCTAAATAAAGAAAAAGAAAAAAATGTTTAAATTCTTACTTTTGAAATAGATTCAATTCCCTGCAGTGTCATGTCTGTCAGAATATTTGCTTCGATGCATCTGAGTAAGACATCATCCTCCATTTTGTCAACAATTTCTTCCTCCTACAATGCAACAAGGAGGAGGAGGTGCATTTTAAAATATTATATAACCAAGAGAGTGTAACCAAGGCAAGTGCTATAGAAATTTGTCCAAAGAGACAATAGCAGTAATATTCTTGTTCAATTAAACATTGAAATTTCAAATACTCACAAAACTGGTACATAATTATAAATTTTTTGAAGGAAATTTTTCTTATATGCTAATTTTCTTTAAAGTGAAATTATTATACAGGAGGAAAAAGTATTCAAAATGTCAAACATAAAATTTACAAAATCACAACATGAAAACATATGAAAGCTATAGAAGCAGCTGCTGAAAACAATGTCTCTTGTAGAGACCAATGTAAAATCTAATAAAACAATTATTGGCTTTGTTTTTTTATCTTACCATTTCCTTGCTTTCTATGAAAACTTCTACATTTATTCAATGACTTAAACAAGCAGATAACAAAGACTTCCAGCATCCTGCAAATTAACAATAATAATCCTTTCTGCCCCAATCTCCACTAAGCTGCCATGTTGTTTTGGTCACTTACACAAATAGTTGCATTACAAATAATATTTGAACTTCAGATATATACACACACACAGAGTAAAGATTGAACTTTAATTCTTTAGGCATGCTCTGGAGCCCGTTTTTCAATTGCTAGGGAAATTAATCAGTAAGGATAATTATTAACCTTTCAGTTTCATTCTTTCTCCTTTGCTCCAGAGTCACAAAAAAAAAAAAAAAAAAAAATCCAAGTGAAATATAAAATACTCTAAAATTAATTCCACCGGAGCAGTTCAAATATTACATCTAATGCAACACTAGAAATAGTCAAAAAGGAATATTGCTTAATGTAAGAAATTCAAATATTACATTTAATGAAACTATTTTAATAAAAAATCAGAGAAATAAGAAAGAAAGAAGTCAAAAATGAAGTGCTGATAATTGACCATGAAATACCAAAACTATTTACTATGAGTGAGGCTTGTTGATTTTAGAATCATTAAACCCATCACCATGGACACAAGTGATACTATTCTATAGAACTTATTTGGGAAAGAGAAGAAAAAAAAATTTCATTAATGATTTTCGACAAGCACCCAAGAAAGCATGATCTATAAACTCACGTCTTGCATTTTGCCTTCTTCTGAGCTCATGATTCGAATTCGTAGAACCAATTTCTCTGCATTGTCGTCATTGAAAATACAATTCAAATCTTCACCAAAGCCTAAGGAAAAAAATAAAGAAAGAAATTAATCAAAAGAAATAAAAACAGCTAACAAATTCTCCAGTCACTGTAGATTTTTTTTTTTAATTCTATTTTTTCCTCCTGGCTCTATATTGTTAAATGTAATCTTTTAATAATAATCTAGTAATAATTTATTATGGGCTGTCATCGATAGTTCCACCTGGTGGTTTTCGGTGAAACCACTCTAGCACCAAACAAGTTACATTGACAGATATTTAGTGTAATGACTTTTTTCTTTTTGTATTGAAAATTTCTCAGTTAACAAAAATGAATGCCACCACACGCAGCTGTAACAATACGATTTCTCACACATCCTTAGAGGATATGTAGATAAGTCCATTTAGTTATCCGGGTTTCTTAGGTAATTCATTTCCAGTCCATCTTTGAGTCAACTTAAGTGTCAGTGTTTTCAGTAATTGTGTCTCCAGCCTGCCTTTGAATTAGCAAACATAAAAGGTTGTTAATGATTTTAGATAATCATGAAAGTAGAGTCATTTGAAGATTTGAACACCCATTTGGCTTTCGGATGGTCTCAAACCTTCCAGAACACAAGTGGATGGATGGGGGACCCCAGCCATTATCCATATAAGCAGAGAGAGGCAGGAAGTCAAGGAGAAAAGGGGTCCAGCAGTCAGAGAAGTAGGTAGGTGACCAGTGAATGAGTAGCTGCCCAGTGGCCAGGGAGGAAGTGACCAGTGGCAGTTAGGAAGATAGCAGTTCAGCTGAAAGAAAGATAGCTGGCTAAGTGAGAATTCGTATTGTTGCTATTTCCCAACCAGAGAGTCTTGAAAAGCAATTGTCGTTATTCTTTGTGAATTCGATTACGGCTAAGGAGACATCTGTGAACATAGCAAGTTGGGTGTATATGCAGACATAGCTGACCTTAGATGTCATCAAGTGGTGTAGTGAATGACAGGCAAACAAAGCACCTCATCACACAGCATTGAGCACCAATTTGTCTTTGTAGACAGTTAAGCCCAAATAAAAAAAAAGATACATATGGCAGGTGGGGGGTATTTAGTTTTATTTACCAATTTTGGAGAAATCAAACTGACAGGGACTAATTTCTGATATTAGTAACTTTAGCAATGGAAATCACTTCCTTTGGAATGTGGAAGAAACATTTATATACATATGATTTCAGAAGCAAATTGATATTACCAAGAATTTAAGCATGTTTGACAATTTAAAAAAAAAAAAAAAAAATCAAGATTCCTCTTCTAATTCCTAATTTAAAAGATTGACTTTGAATCCAAGTAATAATAAATAATATAAAATAGTGTGTGTGTATATATATATATATATATATATATATATATTTAAAAATATGATTCCAACGCTACATAAGAGTTCTCATGTTTCAAAACAAGAGGCGAAAACTTCAATTCTATATATATATATATATATATATATATATATATATATATATATATATATATATATATGTGTGTGTAAAAAAAAAAAAAATCAACAATTTTGATCAGTACAGATTTTTAAGAGACACACAACTAAGTGCCAATGAACAATGGATTATTTAAAAAGCAAAAGAAAGATAAAAGCCAATATCAAAATATTTACATATAATATTCAAAAGATAATCCCAGAATCTCATTTACCTGCGGTAATTTTTTCAGAAATTTGTTCCATGGTCAGTTTTTTATCGGTCATTCTTTTTCTGTCAAGTTCAATTCGAAGCAGCCAGGGTGAGATACGAGAGACATCAAAATCTGGCATCTCATAGTAAACATTCACCCAGTCTTGGTCTTCGGCAATTGTCGTATTTTGAGGGTCAGGGTCATAATGGATTGCTGTATTTGCTGTCACCTTACGCAGAGTTGTGTGTTCCAAGCGATGTAAAACATCCTATGAAAAGAAAGGAAGAAAATAAATAAATCTCACTAGTTCAGTTCAAGTCGCACACCCCACCTCAAAATGGGGTACAGGGAGTAGACAAACTATTATTCACTACAACACAAACTGGGGTTGGGTTCTAATCTAAAACATATCAATAATAGCTGCTAAATCATTTGGTAATATTTTAGTTTTCTTTATTTACTGGACAACAAAGAATAATATTTGTCAAAATTCTTTGCTTCATAGCAAATATACAGTTTGGAAATATTTAAATGAAACAAAATGCAAATATCATTTTGCCAAGTTTTCAGAAAGAGAGGGGGGGAAAAAAAAAAAAAAAAAAAAAAAAAAATTTAATGAAGGTCAACTAATCCAACAATATTCCATCTACTTCAGAATTCCCATCTTCCAAATAATACACTCCCTCCCACTCTTCTTAGACTGGGAATGTCTTCATTAGAATGTTGCAAAAATATTCAAAAAGCTTTAAGCAGAAGACCTCCTCAGTCTATGGAGAAGAGGGGAAAAAAAATAAATAAATAAATAAAAATAAAAAAAAATTGTTGCTTGGTGATTCTGTTTTATTTCATCTCTAAGTGACTTGTTGAAATGATGGAACCATTCTCTTCCCCAATGAAATATGAGGGATGCCAAGAAAAACTAATAAAACCCTGATATTCTGAACTGCTGATCGCAGCCAACAGTTAAAAAGCCAAATTAAGTCAGCTCTTCCCAACTACAGCTAAGTGCCAACAATTAGAAAGACAAATTAAAATCAAAGTCAATTCTTACTTTAGCTTTCTCTGCATCTCTTGCTGACTGTCCTGTCAGATAGACAGTGAGCGAAGGTGTTTTGGGTTTCTTTGAAATGTTGATAATCTCTTTCAACCTGGGTACACCCAGGGTTACATTTTTAGCTGATACACCAGCATAATGGAAAGTGTTCAGTGTCATCTGAGTGGCAGGCTCTCCCAAAGACTGGGCAGCCAGAGCACCACACATTTCACCAGGGTGAGCCTATAAAAAAAAAAAAAAAAAAAAAAAAAAAAAAAAGTTATGTTTTAATAGAAAAATGAATGAATGAATGAATGCACCACAATATAAAATCTTAATTTTATTCAAAAGTCAAAACATTGCTGCTGGCTTCAATTTTTTTTTTTTTTAGTTTTCATTATTTGTGATAATATTCTGAAGCTAATCAACACAAAATAAAATCATTTGTAGACAATATAAACTACAGAAAGCAAATTTTGCGCTTTCTTCTTAAGCCACAAAGTCTTATCAATTTAATACACACACACACACAAAAAAAAACAAAAAAAAAAAAAAAAAAAAAAAAACAGCAAATCAGTCAATTCAGAAAGGCTTTTTTCAGACTATGAAGAGACTTGTTTTATAGATGACCTCACTGAGGTTAACACGTTGCAGTTTGAGAAAAATTATATAACCAAGGTAAGTTGATAATTGCAAATCCCAAAAATGTTCTGAGAGGTTGGAAAAAAAAAAGAAAAAAAAGGTGACATTTAAACCGCTGAACCTAACACCAGGATGCCACAATGAATGTTTTTTGCATAAAGGAAAAGATTGATTTCAACTGAAATCAACAGATCTTACCTGAGCCTGTTGGAATCGGGTCTCAACTTCTCCCAAGAGCCACTCAAAAGCTTCTGCTGACAGTCTGTATTCCTCAGCAACACGTTTAGCACACAATGTCGATCGGATTAGACATTTCATCAGCAAAGTGGCATTCTCGTTGGCAATGATGCTCAACCGATCTTCTCCAGCCACAATTGTCAGCTTTTTGCACAAATTACGAACACCTACAAAGAAATTTACACAAAATAGAGCTATTCTGGAATAAAACTTAAAAAAATGTTTTGATAAAACAATATATCCAAGCTATTTAAAAATAAATAGCAATTTTGAACAATAGAGAGTGGGAGCGGGGGGGGGGGATAGTCTTTAGTAATAATGAACAAGGTGAAATATTGTTATTAGCTACCCTCCGCCACCTCTATCAAAATAAGTTTCAATGCTAAATATAAATTCAAACTTCCTTAGATTCCTAAAGAAAAAGTAATGCAGAAATTTTAAAATCTAAAAACCCAGTAGTGTATTGTTGCTTTGGTGTGTGTTGGAGTTGAATCCTCTTTCAGGAACAATTATCTGATATAAATAAAAAAAAGGTAAATTCAACTTTTTCACTTCTAAATATTCAGATTAAAATTTTTTCACAAAGTTCACCCAAACTCCAAGATAAATCAAATTTGAGTGACTTATCCACAAAACTGGGATAATGTTAAAAGACTTCATGAAGATGCCTAAATAATAAGAAAATAAGAAAAACAAAAAGAATAAAATCATTTTTACCTTCCACGACTTTCAAGGGATGTAAATCTGATGGTTTACGCTTGTCAATTCTGAAGATTTTCTGGGCATTCCAGATCATTCTTTGAAGATTACATGGCAGTACAACCTGTAGAATAGATGAGAATGCAATAGACCATTTCCAAAAAGATACAAATCTTAGCACCCTACAGAGGAAATCATATTTGCTAAAGAAAATATTTAAATATTGATTCTTTACTATATTTTATTATAATTCTATTTCTTTAATCCAAAACTATATACAAACCAATCAGCTGAAAGGTTTATGCAATATATAAGAAAATGTTTTTTTTAAAGACCTTAACAACATGTAACCGTTATTGTTCTTTATCATATCTTATTTAACAACTTGACCAAGTTCATCGAGTTTGGTTTGTAGATAAGTCATTTACATCTAAGTTATACCTATGAAATTACAACACAAGAGGTTGGTTTCAGCATATAAAAAAAAAAAAAAAAAAAAAACTAAACATTTCAAATTGAACAAGTGATTGCAATGTTTATTGCATAATATTTTTCAATGAAAATTAAAGCCGCCTTAAATAAATTTCCAGGACATCAGCAATAATTCAAAACAGAAAATGAATTACCTTGTTGTCTCCCTTATCAAAAATTGTCCTCAAAATGTTTCTGTCTGATGTCAATTGTTCCCATTCTTTTTCAAGTTCTCCAATACAATGAGCTTCACCCATCAAATCTTTGATAACATCTTCAGTAAGACATTTCTTCATGTTACTGAAATTTACACAGAAGAGAGATTCACATAAACACTAATATATATATATATATATATATATATTTGGGTAGCAACCTTTCTTTCAAACATCTTTCATTAAATATGGCCAACAAGATTTTTTTGTCAAGTTTTTCCAGCATCCTTATGTTTTTCCATTTTGTATATATATATATATATATATATATATAAAAACACCACACAAATAAATAAGTAGGAAAACCTTTATGAATTGAACATATTTTGGTATTTACTGAACTTCATCTGAAATATTTTGTTGGTTAAGCCAATATATTCAAAGTCTATTCAAAATATACTAGCAGGAGAAACTTCTTAATCTGAAAACAAAATATCTCATTCTAATTTGGCAGCAATAGTTTTACAAAGACTGTCAGAATTTTTTTCAACTCAATCATACTTCTCCATCTTTTAAATCTAAGAACTGGAATTCTTAATGATTAGGCAAATGGCTGTTCAACCATGTTTAGCATGCATGTAACTAGTAATACATTGGTAGTTGACTTAACCAAGATTAGGCATTTTCTGACAGATTTTGTAAAACATTTTTGTGCCATTTTTCAAAGAGATTTAGAGAAATGTGCTTCTTAACTAAAGTCAGAATTCAAATTGCCTTTAGCAATAAAAAAAGATGGTGGAAACAAAAATTACAATGATTTGTTACACAGAACTCAATACCTTCACTATTGATTTATATAAGCAGCAACATTTTCAAAAGTTTCTAAAAACTTTAGAAGATTTAAGCCCGATTTCTGTTGAAATCTTTAACATTGTCAGCCTATCTTAATTTAGCATTTCATTTTTCCAGCTTTAAACCACATTCCACTGAGCATAGTAAGCATTGAGAAGCCTTCTCTTCTAAAACACAAGAGACTGAAAACATAATTTACCGTTCATTAGAAGCATCAAATTTGAATTTTTTCTCAAAAGCTTTATTTGATGGTTTCAGTGTCGGCATTTGTTGAAATTCGACACAGCAGGCATCCAGTCCATCTTCCCCATAACGTAACTGAATCAACTGTTCGACTTGGTTCCGGACAGTACCATCATACTTGACCATCACACTTTCCATAGCTTTGATTAAACGTCGCTGGATATAACCTGACAGATAGAACAATTATATCATTAAAGAATTTGAATTTAAAATGAAAGAAATTCTGTTACAGACAGGCACACCACACACATAAAAAAGAAAAGAAAAAAGAAATAAATTTGAATTCACAAAGTTGATGACTTTAGCAGCAGTTCTCAATTGAACAGAAATGCCAAGCAATCAAACCACACACAACAAAGTTTTTGTCACTCCCACCCCAAAACCATTTGAAATGAAATTTGTTCACAAGAGGAATTATTTGTGCATCTAATCATATTTACTTTATAGTGAAACTTAGTTGATAGCTGATCAAAGAAATACTTATTTGCAATGGATCTTGTCACCTTAAAATAATTTGTTAGAAGTCAACTTGCCTGTTTCAGCTGTTTTTACAGCTGTATCAATGAGACCTTCACGACCTCCCATAGCATGGAAGAAAAATTCTGAAGGAGTCAAGCCAGCAAGGTAAGAGTTTTCTACAAAGCCTCGAGATTCAGGGCCATAATCATCTTTGATGAAGTGGGGAAGAGTTCGATGCCGAAATCCAAAAGGAATTCTTTTACCATCAACGTTTTGTTGACCTACACAGGCAATAACCTAGAACGAGAAATTTTTCATCATGAAGCTAAAAAAGGTGAGAGGTTTCTTAAAAAAAAAAAAAAAAAAAAAAAGAGTAAAGGTAGCTAAAATAATAGCAGTTAAAAGGAAAAACTGTGGACACATCGTCTGTTTTTTTTGAGGACACAAAGGTTCAAGTTTTCTTTATGCAAGGTACGATATTCTGACAGGGGAAGATATTCTGACAGGGGAAGATATTCTGACAGGGGAAGATATTCTGACAGGGGAAGATATTCTGACAGGGGAAGATATTCTGACAGGGGAAGATATTCTGACAGGGGAAGATATTCTGACAGGGGAAGATATTCTGACAGGGGAAGATATTCTGACAGGGGAAGATATTCTGACAGGGGAAGATATTCTGACAGGGGAAGATAAGTTTTATTTCGCTTAGGATTTGATTATAACAGAAAAATGCCAGAAATTCTTACCTGTGAGATGTTAATTTTGGAACCTTTGGAACCAGCGACTACCATAGCTTTGAAGTTGTTGTATTCAGATAGAGAGCGCTGGGCAGCACTACCTGTTTTGTCTCTGGCATCGTTTAAAATTCTGTTCACCTGAAAGGAAAAGGGAAAAAAAATAAAAAATCCTTAAATTACATTAGCCATCATATGATCATAAAAGTAACATCAGATTCACTTTTTTTTCCCTTCTTTTAAAGTTTGATGATTACAAAAAAGAAAAGAAAAAAAAAAGTACCTGATTTTCAAAAGTCTGCCTCAGTGTGTTTCCAGGACTAGGTTCCAATTCATCATTGTGAGCTTTTTGGATAACTTCTTTCACATCGCTCTGAAATAATAAAAAACTAGAGATTAATTCTGACAAAGCCCCACAGTATTTAACAGAGAGTAATTTTTCAAAATCAAAGTCAAGAAATGAGCTTTTGTTTGGTATTTGGTTATGGGAAGAAATCCATCACCTTGCACATGTTGACGATATTCATTATGACTGAATAACTGATGCCACACACTTAAAAAAGGAAAAACTCTTGCTAACATTGTGAGATGTAATAAGGAATGTCATGTTCATTATTTGGTCAACTTCATTTATTGTAGATGCCAAATTTTCAGAAGGCCATCATTCACTCTTCAAATGTTCTGTATACTTCTCTACCTCAAGAGAAGCACAATTGATAAGATAGTCAAACACTTATGGCATTGGTTAAGATGTTAGATGACCTAATAACAAATCCTGTAAATGTATTTTGTTATCACTCTCTATAAACAGTTTTAGCAGTATCTAAAGTTATTTCATCACATTAAATTCTGCTGTCTTTTTTCCCTTCCATGACCAGAATACTAATTTTTAACAAGCAACAAAAACACTTTATATGACAACTTTTTCTCATGTAATCCAGACATTTTTTCAAAGTCAAAAAACATGGACTTAAGTTAGTAAAAAAACAAAACACTATTTGAAGCTGTTAATGAATTTGTCTTTGCCAATTAAGGAGTCATCAATTTTACACAATTAAATGCATGTACATTTTTAATTTGAAATGTTGAAGCACCCATCTTCAGTAAAAAAAAATCAAGTGGGAGTTACTGACTTTATATTATACAAGAAATTTTGTAGCATAAAACTGACTTTACAAACATGCAAGTAATAAACAAGATAATGAGAAAAGACAATGCTTCTCACCTTAGCTTTGAGAATGGTGTCCTGAATGACAAGATAAGTGGAGGGATCAGCAATGGTGTCACCAATACCAATGCTGTGACCTTCTAAAAGTAGCCAGTTGTTGACAACAGTTTGAATATCACCATAGAGTAGACCAGCATATTCGTGGCCCATCTCTAAGAAGACAATATGTGCCAATGAACCAGCAGATGGTCCAAGTGTTTTTTTGCACAAAATTCCTGATATCAGTTCTCCATCTTCAATAAGCACCTAAAAGGAAAAAAAAATAAATTATATGGTTGTTAATTTTGGGTACACTGCAACCTATCACAATAGAGTCAAACTGATGGAAGCCAACAATTTGCAATCATGATAAAAGATTATAGAATTACAATATCTACAAAAACATTGTTTGCTTATTCCATCATATGTGCCATCTTTGGCTTTCTGTTTTCTAAGAAATCTGCTTCAAGATTTGAAATAAGAAAAAGCACCCAGCTTCAATGACAAATGACCTTGACTTACTAAGAGAAAAGTAAAAAAAAATATGATCACTTATAACCTTATAAACAATTCCATAATGTAAAACAGATTCTTTCAAATCTACATCCCCACACCTCCAGACACACATAATGGGAAAGCATATTCTTTTGAAGTTCTTGATTTACTCTATTTGCTTCTATGTAACCAAACAATAGTAGAAGATGACTATGAAGAGAAGAAAAAAGAAAAACACCATTTCTATGCAACAACAATTTATTAAAATTAAAAAATTTTTTTAATTGTACTCACTCTGGTGTCTCCAGGAGAAATCCATTTGTATGGTCCATCATCTTCACTGTCCGGATGAGTACTGTGAACACGGATACAATTCACACGTCCAGGAATAATCAGAGAAAAAAGTTGTTTGCCTGTCCACAAAGGTTTGGGTTTGAGAATAGAAGGCTGGGGCATACGACCATCCCATCGGGGTAAGTACATAAGCAGGTTCATCACCTGGGCCTGGGGAAAAAAAAAAAAAAAAAAAAAAAAAAAATTATGACAGCTATTATTTTTTTTTTTATAAACCAGGTCAGATTTTGCAAGAAACTGCAATTTGAAATCTTACAAAGATCACAGTAATCTTTTTTTTTTTTTTTGCTTAATTTAGATGGCACCCTGTTTAACCAGCCTCTTAGAGTCACTTGACAAATATTTAATACTGTACATTCATCACAACACTATATATATATATATATATATATATATATATATATATTGAGGAATATATAAAGGCTTATGAAAGGAAAGGCTGAAGGTTAATAAAAGGCAGTGAAAAAAGAATACAAATAATGCAGAGATAACAGATGCAAAATAATACCACAATATCTAATTTGTTGTCAAGGTTTTTTTTTATTCCTGAAATAAAAAAAAAAAAAAAAAAAAAAAAAAATCTAATCAGATAAAGTTATTTTTCATATTTCAATGATAAGCATTTTCTTTAAAAAAAAATCCGATTCCCAAATTCAGATGAATGAATTAAAAGAAAAAGTTCTTATTTGAGAAGTTTTGACAGCAGACATGAAAACTACGCTCACCCTTGACAAAAAGACATCTCGTTTGGTCATTTTTCTTACAGCAGCCAGGGTGTCCTGTACAATACCCATGACAGGCCTATTAGCTTGTGGGGTCAAGATCATACGAGGGACAGAAGCCAGATTGAAAATTTCTGCCCTGGTTTCCAATGATTGAGGCAGATGGAGGTTCATTTCATCTCCGTCAAAATCTGCATTGTATGGTGTCGTTACACTGAAATAGAAAAATGACAAATAGGAGAAGTGCATTTTATGAGCTTCGTTGCATTAATGTACGGCTTTTGTTACTTTGACATAATTGGTTTTATGGCAAAGGTTTAGTCTGGAGAGAAATTTTTATCTCTACTTTTGTTAATAACAAAAACTTATTTTACCTGAGGTTCAATCGGAAAGTAGACCAGGGTAACACCTTGACCCTGTGACACATCATACTCATTTTATGGAGGGTCGGTTGTCGGTTGAAAATAACAACATCATTGTCGTGCATGTGACGCTCCACTTTGTAACCAATTTGTAGATGCAAGTCACTAGCTTTTGGGTGGTATCTCAAATCAATTCTCTCTCCATTGTCACGAATAATATATTTGGCACCAGGATACTGGTTGGCACCTCGGTGGACAAGTTCATGCATGCTGAAATAAAAAGGTATAAAAGAAAATAAAAACAAAAGCCTTAGAATTTGGCTGGAAAGATTTTAATTGTTCTGTCTCCATTCCATGAATGTACAAGGAGGTGAGTACTGTTAGTAGTAACTTATAGACACTGATAAGACTTTAATGCCCTTGAGATGGAGAGTAGATAATTATTGTGCTTAGCTTAGTCTGGTAAAAGGTCACAGTAGGGGAGTACCAAGTGAGAATCAACCTCACTAGCAGTGTCTTTCAAACTGGCTTGTTACCCATTGAATCCAATGCTCACAAGTCATTTTGATACTCACACAATATTCAAAACATAGAAAATGAATAAGTCAAAAAATACTGCAATTGACAAAAAAAAACAAATAAAAACTGTTGTCCAAGTTTAAAAAATATGAAAAAAAGTTACACAAGCAAACAAATAATTTAGAATGTGTACTTAAATTCTTCTAAAAAGAAACTATTACATCATAAAATACCCATGTTAATCACAAAAAAAATTGATTAAAAAGATCAGAAAACTTTTTATTAAAAAATAAATGACTAATAATACCTGTCAATGTTGAATGGTGTGACAATCTCTGGGAAAGTTAAATTTTGAGCAATACTCCGAGGCACTCCGACTTGATCAATTCTTAAGTTAGGGTCTGGAGTGATGACGGTACGTGCAGAGAAATCCACACGTTTTCCCATCAAGTTGCCTCGGACACGACCTTCTTTCCCTTTTAATCTTTGTTTAATGGATTTGAGTGGACGTCCAGATTTTTGCACAGCCTGTAAAATGTAAAGCAATTAGTAATAAAAATAAAACAATTTGGTAGAAATTGTACTTCAAATAGAAGAAAAAAAAAAAAAAAAAAAGAAAAATTTTAAGGTAATGTTGCGTTACCCTGGGCAATCCTGGTAACTCATTGTCCACCAATGTCGCAACGTGATATTGCAACATTTTTGTATCTTCTGCAATAATGTGGGCAGCAGCACCATTCTGTTCATTTCGGCGCAGTTGGTTATTGGCTTTGATAATGTCAGCCAGTTTATGTGTCAAATCATCCTGAGAAGAAGGAAAAAAGAAAATGAATGAAAGGCAATGTTACAATGAAGAGCTTAAGATTTTACAATTCGTCATTTCAGGTTTTATAGTCAAGTGTGTTTCTTGCAAATTTATTTACAATTGGAAAACAACAATGATTCATGAAAATCTTTTTTCAGAAAGTAAATCTATTAAAGTGACTAAGTGATAAGGAATAAAAAGATAACAATGAAACATGGAGAGAAATGAATTCTAAATAGAAAAGAGTTTGTATGTACCACAAATCGAGTGAAAAGACCTTGAGAGGAAAAAAAAAAAAAAAAAAACTTCAGACAACTGATACAAGAGAACCAAAGAAAAGAAAATAAATCTGAAATCTTAAGGGACAAAATTACTAAGGAACTTAAAACAGGGAAGATATTTTTAAATTTAAAGATATGAAAATATGGAGAAGAAAGAAAAATGATTTGATGCTTGAATTGCCTGAAGCTGTTGGATTAAACTAACCTGATTTCTAGCTGACCCATACATGACTACAGCTGGTCTCATGGGTAGCGGTGGGACAGGCAACACTGTGACTATCATCCAATCAGGACGAGAATATTTAGGGTCCATACCCAATGTGATGCATTCTTCATCAGAAATCCTTTTGAAAATTTCCAACACTCTCTCAGCAGTCAGCATAATTTTTTTCTCTTGCGAATCTTCATTCACCTGTTTCCATTCTGCAACCAGCTCCAAGCCATTTCGACGAATTTTAGGCTGGAACCGACCACAACCACCATGGCCCTGTAAAATAATTGAGGTAGAACAAAATTTTAGTAAGCGTAAAGAAATCACATATCTTGAAGAAATTGTTGCAGCCATAATTATAGTCTGTTTTTGGTGTAAAACAAATGAACAAAACTAATTCTAATGTTGTTGCAAATAGTTTACAATTAAAATAAAATTCAAATTTATGGGGGTCAGTGTGTAATTTACTAAGTCAAGAGACAAAAATGACATGAAAAAAAAAAAAAAAAAAAAAGGATAAAATTATCTATGTACAAGATTTTGAAGGTACTCACTTTTTTGGCTTGGTCAACTTCACCATTTTCATTTTTGATCACATCCATTTCATCACCCCCTTCACAGACCCGTTTGCTTTTACAAAGGTCATAGACATGGGCCAATCGTTTACGAGGGTAGCCCTTTGATTTACTTACAATGTCTTTGATTTTGGGATTTTGCTAAAAGAGAATAGTTAAAAAAAGTTTTAATATATCAATAAATATATTTTTAAAAAAATGACAGGAATTTTAAAAAATAATTTAAATACAAACTAGGAAAAGTGAAGGATTTATTTTAATGTCAAAAAGAAACATTTCTTTCAAATCAATTCAGGTTAGAAAAACTATGCCATATGACAAATACACAAATGAGTCATTAAAAGAATTCTCACTGGGTTCATATTAATACTTTCTACAGAATTTGGGTTCTAAAAACAATTCCAATGCAAAAAAAGAAAAAAAAACCAGCTTGAAAGAGAACTTTATATTTTACATCTAAGTGCACAAATTCAATACCAGTAATGAAAAAAAAAACAGCTTGAAAGAGAACTTTATATTTTACATTTAAGTGCACAAATTCAATACCAGTAATAAAAAAAAAAACAAAACAAAAGTCATCTAAACAACAAAATGTCTAGATACAATTATCTCTAAAAAGTAGTACTCTCAAACCCAAACAAATTTTATCTCGTATCTTAAATTATCACAGATCCAAACTCATCGACTATAATTTAATCACACTGTTGTAAATGTTGTTGGTTTTTTGACAAAACCAAGTTAATACCTACACAAAATTTTTTCATATCACAAACTTATGTTTAAGTTTTAAGTATTAATATAGAATACATGAAAATTAGACCATTTCTGTCATTCATTTTCTTAACATTGAATCTGCTTCATTTAAAACAAAGATGGACAATGCAGATAAATGATTTAGGATTTTAAAATGAATATTTTTAATGTAGCTTTCTATTTTTTCATCAATTAAAATACCAATGAAAAATTATACAAATTGAAAAATAGTGAAAAAGAATTTGATTACCTAAGATTCTACAAAAGCGACATTAACAAAAAAAAAAAACAACATACATACTTACTGTATCTACAAGCAATTTTGAACAGAAGAAGCACACACATCTGATTATTTTGATGGTCTTTACTAAAAAGCCAATGTGAAACACTGGTTTGGCCAGTTCAATGTGTCCAAAATGTCCAGGACATTCTGTCATGTTGCCAGCACAGGTCTGACACCGAGACATTCTATCTGTCGTTCCTTGTCGAGGATCCATGAGACCTCCAAGTTTGGGGCGGCCAGCTTCCATTGTCTCTGGATACTTAATGCCACCCTCTGTCACCGACATACGTCGCTACAACAAAGAGAAGTAGGTAAAATGATATATGAATGGACAGCATCTTTGGGCTAGCATTAAATAAACAGTAAACAAAAAATAAGCTATGGCTTTCATTTCAGAAATTTATTAAGTCTTTTTTAATTGATTCGTATAAAAAAAATTAAAATATGAAATAAGTACAAAAATTTCAACAGCAGTAGTTATTCTTTGGATAAAAACTTGTGTATGATCTTATAACAAGTAAATTTATGTTATATATCAGTCAATTGGAATATACTTTAAAAGTCTACTTTTTTAATTTTAAAGGAATGCTCACTGAGAATAGGAAGCCAGATATTTTTAAGGGCTAAAAAGAAGTTTCTGCAGGTGCTAAGAGATACTATTTTCTTGTAAATTGACAGAAACCAATTCCTACAAATTTTAAATAAAGAGCACTTTTGTTTTCCCTAAAGATCAATAAATGAATGCATTTTTTTTTTTGGAATCAATTCACTCCAAGTCAGGCAATAATGCCATTAAGATCCAAGGGGCCACTGAAAGTGAAAGAGAATGAAAAAACTTTAGGAGGAACTAAAAACCAAATCCTAAACAGGGAACAATGGATATCCAATAATTTGCTTTAAAAAAAAAAAAAAAAAAAGCATTCCATTATGAAAAAGGACCCAAAATTGATTAAAAAAGTTATCGTTAAAATATTTATGTTAGTATTAAAAGGGAAGACCAAAGTATTTTTTGATTAATTTATTAAATTTTTTAAACCTTTCTAGCACGTTCGAAATTTTGGTTAAATATCTTGTTTTTCTTGCATTAATGGAGGGGAGCAAAGATTAATATGAGGAAACTTAGCACTTTTTTCTGGTAAAAACACATTGAGTTGAAATTATTTTCAAAAATCAAACAATTCTCAGATCTTAATGAAACTTTCTGTAATTCACAAATGAATTAAATTATTTCAGATTTTTTTTTTTTTTAATTTTAATAGAAATTAAATTTATTTTAGAAATGTTATCCCCATAGAACAACATTAGATAAATACCAATCTGTCAAACCTGCGAACACCATAAACAATTTTCTGCTTAGAAAATGCATTTTTGCAATATTTTAAACTTAAAGTAAATAATATTTGTTTCAAATAAAATTAATAATACTTTAAATCAGCTTATACTCCTTATATAAAGTTTCAGGAAAGTATATTTTAATTTTGGAAGATTTTTTAATAAAAACAATTATATTGTGATAAAAGACAACTAAAAAAAAAAAAAAAATTCTTCCAGTCAATTTAAATTAGTTTTTGAAATACAGCAAAGTATTTTATTTTTGCTTATTGGAAATGTTAAATTTAATCTATTAGCTTGAAATTAAAACTAAAATAAAGCTTAAAGATTTTACTTTTAAAAATTCATTTTAAACCTTGGGTATCATTTGTTGGAATTAAATAGATAAACTTCCGTCTAACGCCTGTTCAAAAGACCGGAAACGAGTGTGAACCGGGCGATATGAAAAAAAATAGAGCTTGCATCATTTTGAAGTTAATGTACAAAGTGCTAAATGGAATGCACTAAAGAAAAAAATCTGGTTGATCAGTTTTTTCTATTAATTAATTACCTACCAAGTTCTCAGTCAGATCAAAGCTTCTTCCTTGCTACTTAAGAGAGGAGATAGGTACTGCCAAATAATTCCCTTTTAGAATTAATAATAAATTCCAAGTCCCAGGTATGAAAATTATAAAAAATAAAATAAAAAGTTGAACATAAAGGAATTGAAGAGGGACTATCAGCAAAGAATAAAGACATTTTACTTTTCTTAACAAATCTGAGGAATATTTAAGACTTCATGAGCAAAAGTGGAGGTTTGACATCAAACCAAGATAGAATCTTTAACCAGGAGCTTGGGGGGGGCAGTTTCAAAATAATCTGGTATCATGATGCTTATGAATATAAGATGGAGAATGAAGAAAAAATAAAATAAAAAGGACAATTCTAATTTAATTATCATTATAAATGATGAGAAAAGGGTTATTAATTAAAAATGATATTAAAAATTATAGCAACTATTTTTTTAGATGAGTCCATAAAAAAAAAAAAAAAAATGTACCTTTTAAATTTTCAGATCGAAATGTTTTTGCTTATCAAAATAGAAATATTTTGATAAACGAAAGTTCATTGCGTATTTTTAGACAATAATTGAAGAGAAAAAACGATAATATTAAAAAAAAAATTGTTTTTTTTGTAAAAAAACATTCAACTGACTCACGTGGGATTCGAACCTGTTTCTCTAGTTAACTATTTTTTTTTTTAAATGATTTTACCAAACCTGAATGTTTTTTTCTTTTAAATAAATTTATAAAATATAATTATCCAAATATTCACTATTATTGTCCAAAACAATTTCTTATATTTTACTAGTTTAATTTTTTTTTCAATATCAGAAATTTCGACACGGAATTAAAGTAAATAATTCTACGAATAATTCTATTATTTATTAAATTCTATTATTTATTAATCTCTTTTTAGTGTTTTTCTTTAATGTCGAAAATGTCAATGTTTTTATTTTTTGTGCTTGAAGAATGAAGATTAAAAGTAAAACTAAAAAAAACAAATGACAATAAAATCAGGTTAAAAAGAAAAACCTTATTTTAGAAAAAGGGTGGATAAAAAATAAGTAAATTAATCTTTTCTTTCTTAATTTTGATTAAAAAATTATTTATTAATGATAGATTAAATTAAAATAAAATGTAAATTTAAGTAAATTCAGGTTTGTTTGAAATTGACTCATAAAAAATAGCAAAGGAAAATTTTTGAAAAAAATTTCAGCTTTAATAAACATTAAATGACTAGTCAAATAATTACTCTTAATTTTATAAATAAAAATAAAATAATCTATTTTAATCTGATCAAAACTTTACACCAAATAAAAATAACGAAACTTCGCACTAAAAAAGGATTTTTTTTTTTTTTACAAACGAAGGCATTATTTTTGTTAACTACTTAAAAAAAAAAAGAACAAAAGGATATTTAATTTTTACTAATAAGAAAATAATATAAATTAAGGGAAAAAATGAAACAGTAAATCATTTCTTTTTTTTTCTTCAAACAAAAAAATCCACTAAACAAAAATGTCTAAGTGTCTGAATGAAAATAAAACAATTATTTCATGAAGAATATGATCAAAGTTTTGTTTAGATTTTTGTATTGATTCTGTTTCAAAAACAATTGATCGTGTTGATATGTCAATTCTCATTTAATACTTCATAGTGAAACTTACAACTTCATCTGGACTCAAAATTCCAAACTGAATCTTTTTACATTCCCGTAAAGGAGCGTTGGAATCACCAACGTAAGCCATGTTTCTATAATGGCGTGTCCCGCTGCCGAGAAATTACTCTGATCTCGTCTTTCTCGTTGCGACGGGATTTCTGCGAGCGCCTGGCCGACGCACTCCAATTTATACTTTACTCTGCTACGGGGTCTTTCAATTCAACAGCACGGACTATCCGAATTTTTCTAAACAACATTAAAGCAATTATTTTACAAAAATCTCAGTTTAAACAATAAATTAAAATAATAAAAATATTTTATTATCGATTATTTATTCGTAAGATTTAGTTTTATTTTTTCCGATATTTTCAAAAAGGAAGTGAGTGCTGAATGACGATGAGAGTTGACGGAAGAAAATTTTTCCAAACACTACTAAGTTAATTTCTTTGATTGTTTTTCAAAGCAAATAAGTTCGATATTTCACAAAAGTGGATGGAGAATTGATATTTTGATTACGATATTTATTTTAGTTGTCTCGATATTTTATAACTTAATAATATAAGTATTTAAAATTTTCTAAAAATATAGTGACCACTTTTAAAAGAACGTCGAATAACCATCAAAATACTTTTTATTTAAAGTTTAAAATGGAGCGAATGCCATTTTTTTAAATTGTCAGTATACAGAACATTATCAGGATTTAATTTTTTTACTTAACACTAGTTATAAATTAGAGAGTAATGTCGATTTTATTTAAATCTGAAGTAGCTATTTTACAAAATAAACATTTACTGTTTAATGGCTACTATTTTTAAATTTTATATAATTAACAAATAAATCTAAACTAAAGTTGATTTTAGGTACCTCAAAAAAAAGGTTTAAAAATGAGAAACTTGTATCTTTTATTTTAGTTTTAATTTCAAACTAAATTTAATAATGCTTTGCTGTATTTCAAAGAAAACTAATTTCAATTAATTGGAAGGATTTTTTTAATGTTTAAAAATCGCCGATTTTGGTTTAAAAAAAACATCTGTCAACTCAACACTAATTCTCTTTTTAAAAATATTTAAAAAAAAATAATGCTATTTTGTTTGAATATTTTATTTGAGGAATATTAGCAGATTTAAAGTTTAATTAATGATTAATATTTGTTTCAAATCAAATTATCAAAATAATATTACTTTTAGTTTAAAATATCGCAGAAGTTCATTTTTTTTTTAACACGGATGTAGATGTTTTTTTAATTTTAAATTTAGTTTTGTTGACAGACTGACAGAAGTTTCTGTTTATCTATTTTTTTTTTTTCTTCGGGTGACATATCTTAAAAATTACTTGAGAAATATAACGTTGGTGCCTATTTTATATAGATTTTAACTACCTAGTAATCTTAAAATTTAGGAAAATATTCGTAATCTAATCCGTATATTTACAAAAGTCGGCACGTTTAGTACACACAAAAATTCAAAACACTTTATTGAGGGTCGCTGAATTGTAGTAAGCTTTTTCATTTACTTTACTTAACACATAATCGATACAAATTAATACAGAAATTTTAAAAGATTTAAACTTTTAAAAATTAATTAAAATTTGTAAAAAATGAAAGCAATTCTTTTAAAAATTCATTATTCATCGAAAAAATTAAGACAGTGCCCATCTTATTTAAATAAAAAAGGCTTTTCTAATTAAATTAAAAAATAGTTTTATTGCATTTTTTTTTTTATTATACGATTCAAAGCAGATTTTCGGTAAGTGGGAATTTTATGAAGAAAAAAACTGATGATTTAAAAATTCTCCAAGGAATTCTGCATATAATTAAAAAAAAAAAAAAACATTAAGCGTTAAAAAAATTAATTTCTCGAAATTTCATAAATAAAGGAGGGATAACAGATGTAAAAAAATTTACTAAGATTTACTAAAGAAGTATTTTTAATATAATTTCATTAATCTGAGAATAACTTCTGAAAGTTTCATTAAAATCCGACAATTATTTTATTTTTACAAGAATTTAAAAAAAAAGAAAGAAAAAAGTTTCGCTAAAATTTCCTGTATTTTTATGACCACCCACTGATGCAAACAAACACAAATTAAAAAGCAAAACCAAAATTTTTAATGTTCTCTAAAATAAAAAGGATAAAAATATAATTTAATAATTAAAAAAAAACAAAACTTTAGTCTTTTAATAAAGTATTTTGATGATAATTTTTTTTTTTATTAAGTTTTTTGGGGGCATTTTTTCATATTGTATTTGTTACTTGTAACTCTTTTTTTTTTTTTTTTTTTTTTTTTAGCGAATCTGGAGGTTTCGATTTTTTCCCATAAAAAAAGCTACTTTTTCCTTTAAAATTAACCCTCATAAAAATGTACACGAATCAAAAAATACCCCAACAGACCTTCAAGAATGATTTTTCCCTAACTTTTATTTTGATAAATAAATGTTTATTCAAAATCATATAATAAAATAAAACTATAGATGATAATGAAAATAATATTGCTTCTTATGTCCTGGTTAATCTTTATTTCCTCCTGTTGAAGTAGGTCATCATGTGTAAATAAATTACATCATTCATACCTGTTTATAAACATACGATGATAAACAGCCGAGGCGTGGTGCCGGGGGGGGGGCTATAGAATTTGAGGTAGAGCAAGAAATGTAAAACTGGATATAGACCTTTATTGAGAATAATATCGCATTTTACAATTTTACATTTTTAAGATTAAAATTTCCTCGCCTTTCTTTTCAACTTTTCATATCACTTTAAATGAATTAATTAATTACATAAGGATTTCACCAGGTGCTTCCTTAATCATAAGAAAAGAATTGATTATTTCAGTCAGTTCGTGAATGTGTTTCACTAATTGAATTCAAATGTTGATCTAAAAAAGTATGGTCTATCTTTCTCACGCAATCAATCACATTTTCTGAGTATGAGAAAGAAAGATGGATGTTTTTAAGTACTGTTTTTTAATGATGAAGTCATCGTTGCTAGTAAGTAGTATTTCATCATTATATTGAACCGATTTTTTTTTTCTGTATGTTTCACCATAACACAAACAAAAATGACTAAATCTTACACCGTTAAAAATAAAATGCTTTAAATTAGTAGAGATTCAATCAGACATCACTGTTTAAAAAGTAATAATACGTAGCTGAGGATGAAACTGAAATTATGTCTGCCCAAGGGCGATAATCCGAGTCTGATTCAAGAGTTGTTTTTCTGAGAATCTTTGATCTGTTTGTACCAAGGTGATCCTTATCCATAGTTAAGGATCGCCTTGGTTTGTACCCTTCTACGACAGCCATAATGGTATACTAGTGACGGGACTTTAATAATAATAATGGTAATTGGCTTTTGTAATTAATTATATTAGAAATTCTGGGTAAGTGAATAAGAAGATGGAAAAACCTCTTTGTGTGTGACCCTTTCTGTTCCGAGAAGCAACTTATAAAGATTTTATGGATAGAATCAGTCTTATATATAAAAATAGTTGAGAAATACAACAACTGCCATTTACAGTTTGCATGAAAACACTAAAAATAAGGAGACACTCAGCTATTTAAATTTTTGACGTCTGATGTATGGAGGTATTAACATACAAATACTTTAAATGTGACTTAACATCAAACAAGGACCAATAAAGGTGGAATTTAAGTGAGTTAATCATATTAAATAACCTACCTGAGATAGTTGCATGTGTTTCCCAATGTTCAGTTTTCAAGCACAATATATAGTTATCTGCTTTATGGACATTATCGTTGTTTATTTCCAGGGGTTAGTGTTTGAACCCAATATCTAGACTGACCTGGTTTATAGCCAAGATACTAACATATTCCTTGGGGATCAGAATTTTTAAATAAGCTTGACTAACTTCAGTTACTAGTTAGAAGTCAATTCAAAATTTTGTATCTCTGAGTTTTCTTGTACAGCAATATTTTTTTTTTTTACAATGATGTCCACCTTGTACAAGGCCTAGAAAGTTATGGAGTAAGAGGCACAGTTTATAAGGATATATAACAAAGATAATGGTTAACATTAGAATTGAACAGGTTAAAATTGAGATCAGGGAATCATCCTCTTGGAAATTATTTCCACAAAGCTGAAGTTTATGGGAAGAAGCTGCTTGAGTGGAACTTACATCTAAAATGGATGTGGCAGGTGGGGGGCGGGCATCTTAGACATGAAGGCTAGAACAGGTGGAACTAAGGTATGTAATTTGTCTGAACATTTTCCATGGAAATAGTGATAGAACAGCGAGAGGCTTGTAACGTTTCATCTGCAGGAAAAAGGTTGTAGGGTGAAAAATAATTTGTCACCCACAAGGACATGGTAATGCTTTTAAACCCTATCGAGACTGTAAAGTGAAGATTGGGCAGCTCCTGCCCATATATGGCAACAGTACTCCATTTTTGACCTGATTTGGGTCTTGTAAAAGTAGAAGATAGCAGAAGGAATCAGGTACTTACTGGAGTAGCACAGGTAACTGACCATTTTTCCAGCATTTTTAGCAATGCTTTGTATGTAAGAGTTACATTTGAGGTCTGGATCCCAATAGGTGCTCAAAGCATGAGGTCTCCCATTCATTGTGATATGTGAAAATTCAGAGTTCATTTGGTGATGATAGAAAGTTACTAGTTTAGTTTTCAAGGCATTGAATGTGACCAGCCAGTTTTTTCTATACTGAACTGTTAAAGCTAGACCAGTGGAGAGATCAGCTACAGGACTCTGGTCATTTAGAGTTTTAGAGATGCACCCATATAATGTTATATCACCAGCATAGATATTCACAAATGATCAGAGTATACTCTTAGATCATTTATGTAAAGTAGAAAAAGTATTGGACTGAGAAGCAAACCTTTGAGATGCTTGCTTTGATCGCTTGGGCCTCGGAGAACTGGATGTTAACTACCTTCTGGGACCTACCTGTTCAGAAGGACTTAATAATTGAGAAAACTCTTCCAGTGATTCCATAGCTAGAGAGCTTGTGCAGTAATCCTTTCTGCCACATCTTGCCAAAGGCCTTTGAAATATCTAATGCAATCATGGTTGAGGTGCATTTCTTTCCTAGTGTTCTCACTGATTCTGTGAGTAATATCAGGATATCAGCAATGAACTGACCAGTCAAAATTTATACTGCTTGTTGCTAAAGCAGTTGTCTCTATTGATCTATTGAGGTGATCAACAATTTTCTTGTTGATTATAGTTCCAAAAAGTTTACAAATGACACTAAGGAAACTGATGGATCTATAAAAGTGTTTCTCAACCTTTTTCCCTTGTGCCACCCTTGAAATACTTTTCATATCTCATGGAAACCCTAAATAAAAATTATTATATACCCTTATTAATCTGTCTATATTTTTGAGATGAGGTATTATGTACACTATTTACATTATTCGAACTATTGTCCTCATCTTTGTCATCATATTTATTACAACATTTCGGCCATTGTACGCTCCGGCCTTCTTCAGGTGGTTAGAGTGTCGAACTGAACCCTTTATTTCGCTCACTGGGGTAGACTGTTCTAGTTCCACGTGACATGTTTATCAGTTATCTCCTGTTAATTCCCCTCTCCAAGTTCCCCACCACCTTAACCAGGTATTGAACTCACACTCTTTGGGTCCTGTCACTGGATCACCTTTATCCACTGTGCCATGTTGTCTTTGAGGACACATGGCCCAGTTTGTTTATATCCAGTGACAGGAAGGTGGTGGAGAAATATGGAGGGGAATCAACAGGTGATAACTGATAGCTGACATCCATTAAACATGGCACGTGGAACTAGAACAGTCTACCCCAGTGAGCGAAATAAAGGGTTCAGTTTGACACTCCAACCACCCGAAGAAGGCCGGAGCATACAGTGGCCAAAACGTTGTGATAAATATGGTGACAAAGATGAGGATAATAGTCCGAATAATGTAAATAGTGTACCCTTATTAATATCTGTCATTTTTATAATTTTGTCATAGTTCACATGGTAAACATAATATATTTTTTGGATAACGAGTTTTAGGAAAATAATGAGGCCTTTTTTGTCAAATTTATTGGCAATGCAAAAAAATAATATTACTCTTTTATGAGACTTCACATTGAATTTTTCCTTCACAAAAAGAATCTGTAAACTCACACAAAAAATAAACATAAATAACCAATATCAATATAATTTAATATATTACTCTTTTATGAGACTTCACATTGAATTTTTCCTTCACAAAAAGAATCTGTAAACTCACACAAAAAATAAACATAACCAATATCAATATAATTTAATATATTACTCTTTTATGAGACTTCACATTGAATTTTTCCTTCACAAAAAGAATCTGTAAACTCACACAAAAAATAAACATAAATAACCAATATCAATATAATTTAATATATTACTCTTTTATGAGACTTCACATTGAATTTTTCCTTCACAAAAAGAATCTGTAAACTCACACAAAAAATAAACATAAATAACCAATATCAATATAATTTATTCTAATAACTAAAGATTTTCCAACAATATGCCATAAATGTATGATAAAATTACAAATATAAAATTAAACAAAACTTACTCAAAAATGCATTAGCTTATTCATCACTGTTTCTCATGGAACCCCTAGTGACCTCTTGCAGAACCCTAGGTTTCTGGGGGACAGCGGTTGAGAAACACTGTTTTAAAGGTTTGATTGGTTGATTTGTTTTCTACAGTTTATCAACCATTTGTAGGTTATTTAAAGCCAGAAAATATTTTTAGATTGTAAGAACTTCTTTTTGCCAATAATAATGGTTTAGTGATACAAGACTTACTAATTAACCCATAGCTGGGGTAGGGAGAAGAGGTGGATTCATACCTTTCTCAAGTATATTTGCATGTAAGTGAATATAACATACCCAACAGGGATTCAAACTTGGCACTTTGATTAACAATTCTGAGCCATTATCCATTGCACCTTTCACAGATCCAATCTTACAACATCTGGTATTCTTCAGCAGTCACCCATCTAGGTATTGACCAGGCTTGATGTTGCTTAACTTTGGTAATCATACAATATATATTTTTTTGGATAAGTGGTATAAGGAAAAAAAAATGACCCTTTTTTTTGTTAAATTTATTGGTCTGTCAGTTATGTGCCATGCATGATACACGTTTAGGCAATCATGTATCTTTTGATACATGACTGATGAGGCAGGTTTTCTCCATGCAGTAGGTTGTCATCTCTTTCTATGGTAGACCAGTTACCATCCAAAGCTATAGAACCAGGTCTGTAATTTATTGGTAATGCAATAAAAAAAAAAATCATATTGTTTCTGAAAACTTAGACAGAGATTTTCATCCAGAAAAAAAGAAATCTGTAAACACACACACAAAAATAAGCATAAATAACCAATATCACAAAATGTATAATACATATAAACAAAATGAAACTAGATAATTTACAATAACTTATTGTTTATTGACAATGTTGAAAAGGCATGAGATAAATCTAAGTATAATTTCTTATAAATAACAAATTTTCAAAGTCAATTTATAAAGTGAAATTGGATCCTTTAAACCTGTGCTTGTCTTTTGCTACACAAATACTTTGAGATAAACACATATTTTTTTTTAAAGATTCACTCCATGCAAGACAGTAAAACCACTAAGACACAAGGGGTTACAGGGTGCAGAAGAATTAAGAACAGAAACATTACTAATGAGCGGCAAGAGAAAAGAATAATCAGGTGAACAGTAAATAGTGATTGACATTGCATTTAAATTTTTGAAGATTAAAGCTGACTGGAAAGCATGGAGCCGGAAGAGAGTTCCACAAGCGAGAAGTGTGAGAAAAGAAACTGCTAGCATAGAACTTACGGTTACATCTAATCATCTCAACTGTAAAATAATGAGATATCAATGCCATTATAGTACTGTGCTTAAATTCAAAAAGTTTAGGTACGACATCAAAGAACTTATCTGAACAATTACTATGAAAGTATTTGAAGAAAAGACATAAAGAGGTAATTTTATGGTAGTAGGAAAGGATTTCATTTTCAACTGAAAGGAGTCAATTTCTGTCTTTGCTTTTGATACTTGTTAAGTAAGAAAAAGCTTGCACACACATGTAAGAGGTTGAAAACTGCAGTATTAGATTAATTGCTTTCTTATAAATGGTTATAGAAATCCAGAACTTCATTGTATGATCTGACTACTGCTCACAAAGTTATTCCTCTTCTTTTAAAGTGAAGTTCTGACCAAAAGATTCAGTGTGTGGATCCCTCATCCAATCATACACTTGTTGTTGAATGATAAGGAAAATAATATTTGTTTCTGATCCACAACTCCTCCGAGGGAGGAAGGGTTAATAAGAATTAAAATTTGCTAATATCACTCTTCACTTTTAAGCTCCGACAGTCACTGAAACATCTCAAGATTTTTCCAGAGATTCAGTTTTCTTTTACATGCAATATTCTTGTCACTTCATGCCAACACATTTTCTCTGGGGCCTTGCAGTGACTTGTTCAGCTGATTCCTGCGATGAAAAACGTCTGCTGAGTAAGTAGGCCATTTTTCATCCTCAAGGCATTTAGCAAAATCTTGCTTATCGTTTTCTTAAAATTATTCCTGCAGCTCATCTTTCAGCTCAAACACCTGTTGCTGGTTTGAACCAACCCACAACAAAGAAAAAGGTGAGAAAGTTTTTAAATATAAAAATATAAAATACTAGCAGTAGAGCCCGGCGTTGCCCGGGGATGTAACAGTAAGAAATAGATCAAGTATCGACCATCATAAAGAGTGAAAAATAAAATTGACAAATATTATTGTTTAAGGTTGACGGACACGCATGTTTTAATTAGTTTTTTTGTTTGTTTTGTTTTTTTGTTTTTTTTTTTATGAATTGGTCAAACTCAAACAAAAACATTGTTTTCAATCGTTATGAGTCTACCGATTGAATAGAATTTTATTATAAACAATTGTCTTGTAAATGGAATTTTTAAAGCATTCTGAATGTAAAAATAAAGAAAAAGTGTGCAAGACAATAAGAAACACTACCTGCCAAAAAAAAGTGAAGTTTTGTTGAAATCAGTTGAAAAATGTAGAAAATCCAATCCCATATATAAATGAACACACACACACACAAACAACGTGGGTTTTATAATAAGTATAACTCGATATGAGTTGTCCCCTTTCATTCTCGTGACAGCGATGCCTGTTAATCGTGTTTTCAAATTGATTTTGTGCAAAAACAATTGTGTTTTCCAAATTTTTGCACTGTCAGAACCACCACAAGGTAATTTTACATAGTCCTGTGAAGTTTTGTTGAAATCGGTTGAAAAATGTAGGAAATCCGATCCAATATATAAACGTACAGACACACACACACACACAACCTGGGTTTTATAATAAGTATGATTTTATTTTTCTATTTTTACAATTAAATCTTTCTCTGCTTGCATAAGTGTTAAAGTTCCTTGTTTGTAATTGAGCTGAAAAGAAATGTGATTTCTTCGCATGTATGTGTGAGAAAAAAGATGCAAGGGAGAAAGTAAGCAGGAAAATGTAACTTGATAAGGAAGAGTGTAAATGTCACATAGCTTAGTGAGGAAGAGTGCAAAATGTTGGTGAGCGTTATATACTGTACTTATGAACACTAGTAGGTATGTCCCAATCCTCATAAATATGTTGGATTCTATTGTAAGTCAAGGCAATATGCTGTCAAAGTAGTCCACCACTAGCAATGGTTTATCTACTTCATGCTGCTGGCAAGTATTGTATTTTGTTGATGTTATAAAGATTACCATTTTCATTTCCAACCTCCATTTTGGTTATTCCTCATTCAGTAACCCTTTCTAGGTTACAACAGTGTAAAATATCATGTAGTTTGGTGAGGAAGAGTATAAAATCTTATGTAGATTGGTGAGAAAGAGTGTAAAATGTCATGTAGCTTGGTGAAGAAGAGTGTAAGTGTCACGTAGCTTGGCAAGGAAATTGGGTGAATCAGTAAGGGAATTTCTTTGAAGTTGTGCTATTTTCACATGTATCTCCTTAATGGTTTTTGTCTGTATAGAGACTTTACTTAAATACTCTTCAAAGGGATCACAAAGCACTTTTTTTATTGTTGGCAAGAACGCAACCTAATGGTTAAAAAATTTTTATTTTCAAAGGATTAATTTATTAATCAGAAAGATGCATTGATCCTCTGACTCAGAAACCATTTTTTTGTCATTTGATGATTGACTGTCTTGATGTTTATTTCTGTCTTTGCTATACACACCCTATTTAGAACTCTTCCTCTTCTCAGCTACTAGATTTCTGTATGTAGCAAGAGATTTATGCACACTTTGTCCAGATTTTCACACAGCCTTTTAAACATCCTTCTGTCTTTTCTACAAATATTTCCATGGCAACTACTCTGACGAATGAACTACACTCACTGGTGCCCTGACTGCATGAATTTAATCATGCTACTAGGTTGGCATCTCGTCCTACCCTTTTACTGTCAAAACAGTTAAATGTAACTGCCTCTTCTACTCCAACAGCTTCTCTCACATTTCCCTTCCTCTTACTTGCTTCCCTGATAACTATAATCTTCAAAAATTTAAATGTAATGTTAATCGATATCTTCTGATGCCTTGATCTTGATCCCCATTCTTCTCTATATCCTTTCAATCCCCCCCTCTTTTCTCTTACTTTCACTCTCTGTAACCCCTTGCGTGCTTGTGGTACGCACATCTTTCTTGGGGTGAAGTGCTTATAAAAAATAAAGAAAGTTGAAGCAAATAAAGGTAAACAGAAGAATTAACCTTGAAAAAGAAAGAAAGAAAGAAAGAAAGAGACAGAAAGAGAGGACAGAGAGAAAGAAAGAGAAGAAAATTAAAGGTAAACAAAAGAACTTTGAGAGAGAGAAAGAAAGAGAGAGAGAGAGAGAGAGAAAGAGAAATGGAGGGAAAGGAAGAAAGAGAGAGAGAAAGAAAGAAAAACCTCACACCTGAAGCAAATAAAGGTAAACAGAAGAACTAATCTTGAGAAAGAGAGGAGAAACAGAAATAGTGAGAGAGAGAAAAAGAGAGAGACTTCTCATAAACTAAAAAAAGAAATAATAAAAAATACTTTAATTTTTTGAATTCATACAACCAGTGACGGCCCTAGGGTTGTTGGCACCCCACGCAATCTGAAATTTTGCACCCTTACAAGTATAATTTTTAAAACTTTTCACAGTGAGAGAAACTGAAAATGTAGAATAATGAGTTTATTACAATATACAATTTAATACAAGCTAAAGAAAACATTCATTATCCGACCTAAAACATTTTTTTCTAGCCTTTAGATCTTCAAATTTTTCCTGACAGTTTCTATGCCTATCCTCTTTTCAAGATCATTTTCTATTGACAAAATAGCCAAAGAATTTAATCTATCTCGAGTCATGGACGATCGCAAGCATATTTTTCTAAGATTTAGTTTTGGAACATCCCAAACACATGACATGGCAGCATCAGCCTTGATGGTGCCTCAGGCAACTGACTGAGTTGGCAGTACCTTGAGTCAACCCTGAATGCAACACCCCTAAATGCTTGGTAAAATTTGCTGAGTAATGTGGGTGAATGAAAGACTGTACCTGCATGCCTGGAAGCACAGAGAAGACAGATAGAGACCATTCATGCTTCCTCTATTCGAGTGAGTCACTTAATGATACATGAATCTGCTGTGTATAGGTCCTGTCCACTAACCAGTGAAGGTGATTTTACACTAATGCCATATAGACATTGCTAAATACATTCCCTATGATTATTACAATTTTAAATAATATGAGAGGTTGAAGCCTTTATTATTATAATAACCAAGGATTTTGCAACAATATGCTGTACATGTATAGTTAAATTATGAAGATAAAATTAAACAAAAATTACTAAAAATTAAGGTCAATTTGGAATTTAGTTGTGTTGAGCTTCAGATAGAACTCAATTTGATACTTATTGTCCAGTCTGGAAATAACTCTTGTAGATCAATATTTGATAAGCAAATAAATTCATATTATGTTGGGGGTTAGTTTTCTTTTACCATAAGTTATAAACAGTGTAGAGTAATTAGCCATGGTTTAGTGTAATTGACAAAATTGTCAACAATTAGGATTGACAAAATTCTCAATAAACAATAAGAAAAAGAACAGGGTAAATAATATATATGCAAGTCAAAACTAGACAAAGCAACAGTAATAAGGAAAAAAATTCACAAAGTAAGAATTGTGTCCACATGCAAAAGTGGTTATAGCATTCTGACTTCAAGGCAAGAAAGAACAAAAATATGGAAGATGAGACCAAGAATTGTTCATTTTTAGAAGAAATCCCAGCATGTTTCTGCAGAATTTGTCTATAAATTTAAAAAGATATTCTTAGTAGTCATTCCCAGAGAGATTAGAACTAACAGATTCCTCACTTTTCCCCACTGTAAATTCCTTTCTTGACAATATCCTTGTAGACAGGATTAGCAGATTGGACTCCATTTAAAAGCACAACTTATTAAATTTTTAATTTCACTACTTTTCTGGTTACTTTTAAAATAAGCTGGGCTACTTTACTCATGCAAAGAAAGTCAGGGCAAAATTTAGTAGCTCCTGGGCTTATAAATGAAGCCCATACTGGTAATCATGTAGATATTACAGATAGTAAAGTTTGAAACCTTTCATGATTTATGAGAGTAATTATAATATGATATCATCGTGAACTCAATTTCCTATCATGTATTATTATTTAAGATATAAATCTATTTACTTATGACCACTTTATCAAACTGTTCTTAAGTTTAAAATTTTGTTTAGTCATTTAAATTCCTTCAAGGTGTATTTATTCGATCTCTACCAATACATAGTTATTCTTTGTAAATTGCATGAACTGTATCAAGGAGGATGCAACAAAATAAAAAGTGGTGGGGATAAATCAGATGTTAAATGTTGGGTGTCAAAATCATATGTCAAAATTGGGGAGGCTAAATCAGATGTTAAAAGTGATGCAGTGGTAGGTAATTCAGATGTTAAAAGTGAGGTAAGGGAGACTAATTCAGATGTTAAAAGTGGGGAAGCTCATTCAGATGTTAAAATTGGGGAGGCTCATTCAGATGTTAAAATTGGGGAGGCTCATTCAGATGTTAAAAGTGAGGTAAGGGAGACTAATTCAGATGTTAAAATTGGTGAGGCTCATTCAGATGTTAAAATTGGGGAGGCTCATTCAGATGTTAAAAGTGGGGAGGCTCATTCAGATGTTAAAAGTGGGGAGGCTCATTCAGATGTTAAAATTGGGGAGGCTCATTCAGATGTTAAAAGTGGGGAGGCTCAATCAGATGTTAAAATTGGGGAGGCTCATTCAGATGTTAAAAGTGGGGAGGCTCATTCAGATGTTAAAATTGGGGAGGCTCATTCAGATGTTAAAAGTGAAGTAAGGGAGACTAATTCAGATGTTAAAAGTGGGAAGGCTCATTCAGATGTTAAAAGTGGGGAGGCTCATGCAGATGTTAAAATTGGGGAGGCTCATTCAGATGTTAAAATTGGGGAGGCTCATTCAGATGTTAAAATTGGTGAGGCTCATTCAGATGTTAAAATTGGGGAGGCTCATTCAGATGTTAAAAAAGTGAGGTAAGGGGAGACTAATTCAGATGTTAAAAAGTGGGGAGGGAAGGCTCATTCAGATGCTGAAACTGTTGTCTAACGTTATTGAAATTTTATCAAATTAGACACCCCTTTGAGATAGAATTAGACAATTCCTTCCATTATTTACACTATTTATATTGGACCATCTTTGTTTTTAAAACAATGTTTTTGTGCCCTCCAGCCTTCCTCAGATGTATATCAAACTGGATCATTGTGAGGCATGGACTTCCAGGACTATATAAAGTTTGTGACATTCTAGAGAGAAGAAGAAGAGGAGGAGAGAAGTATTCTAATACCGTAGTATCAGCCACGTACGACTACCAATATTGGACAACCTCAATACCTTACCATCTTTGTCCCACCTCTAATCCGTGTTCTGTGTTTTCCTTCCGTGGCTTGGGGACGAGTGGCGAGAGAATTCTAGAAACGCATTCACGTCGAAAACCTCAATCGAGAAACCTCACGTCGAAAACCCAGTCCCACATCAGTGGCGACAGAAAGATTCGAGAATTTCGTTCTCACCATATCAATAGCGACAGAGTACTCGAAAAATACACAGAAACTCCACGCGTTCCCACAGTAGTGTTGAACGAGAAATTAAGCTGGTATTACTACATTAGCGATTTAAACGCAACATCCAGCGTCTACATAAAAAAAATATTCCTATACCAAACAGCAGTGACGAACTAGCGATTCAACATCTATGAAATATTAAAGTCTGTCCAAATAACATTACGAGAACGATTTCTTACACACCTACACACAAAAAACAAAACAAGTTTGTTCATAAAACAAACTGACAACACAAGAACCGAAGTACTATTTACGACTCAAGTTTTTCAAAAAAAAAAAAAAACTATCTAAATTTTTTTTTTATGTAACTGAGTTTGAACTCGCATAAAATTATTTTCCCTCAAATTCACTGAGGCGAGTTTTTTTTTTTGTACCTCTATAAAAAAAAAAATACAACGTTTGTGGTGAAAATTGATACAATTACGTTAAAATTAACGGAACCACACGGAATCTCAAAAAAAAAAAAATTAGTTTAGTTTAACACATAATTAGTTTAGTTTAAATAATTGTCTGTTCCATATGAAAGCAAAAAGACATTTGCAAAAAAAAAAAAAACTCGAATATCAAAATGAAAATCAAGTTTTTTTTCAGGTGTTCCTCCAACTGGATAAAAATGGGTTTCGAATCGAGAACACCAACAAAAAATTTTTTCATTCTGTCATTTTGGTTTTTTCGTAATTTGCATATCAAAATATGGAAGATTTTCAAAAAGAATAATTGTCCAAATGAACTAGAAAAAGGTAAATTTGGATCAGCAACAAAAGGTTTCTTCAGAAAAAAACTTTTTCCGGGGTACCTGAACAACAAAAAAACTATTTTTTTGGATGGAAGACAAAATAAACAAACAAATGTAAATTCAGCAACAAAAATTACAACTATTTTGGAATTACATAAACAAAGAATCCTGAACTTCAGAACAACTACAACAAACAACTTAAAGAATTACTCGTAAATGCATTAAAAGGCTCAAACTCTGAAAAAGATACAATATTCTCCCAGAGTACAATCTACAATTCAATGGAAACCTTTGAATACGTACCAGAGAACGACAAAACGTTCGAGGCTTTTTTACAGGCGCTACGAAGATATTTTCAACGTAGACTGTGAACAATGACACAGTAAAAAAAGGTACGTCTACTATTGAGAAAACTGGGAACTACAGAACATAGTAGGTTCGTAGACTTCATACTACCCAAGAAAACCACTGACTTGGATTTTTCAGAGACTATTAAGCTCCTATCGGAACTATTCGGGCCTAACACAACCTTGTTCCACAAACGTTGGAAATGCCTGAACACAGTCAAAAACAAACAGCAAGATTTTCTAACGTTTGCAGCATCGGTAAACAAGCTCTGTAATGATTTTAAACTAGCCGAACTGACTGCCGATGATTTTAAGTGCTTAGTTTTCGCACAAGGTCTAGTATCAGCAGAAGACGCCGAAGTCAGACGACGGGTACTTGAGAACGAACAAGGATTGACTCTCCAAAAACTGGCAGAGGACTGTCAAAGAGTAATATCTGTAAAGTGTGACTCAAACACTATCGAGGAATCAAGGGTGGCTCAGATTAATAAAATCAGAAGTAAGTCTACCGCCTATTCCCCTCAAAAAGACAAAAGGCAAATCGCATGTCCTAAATTACACAGTAACCAAAACCCAAATAGGTTAAAAAACCGCCCGGACCATGTTACCATTGTGGTAAATGGCATTGGATGAAATTCTGTCCATAGGAATTTAAGAACAAAAAATATTGCAAAAATTGCAATAAAAGTGGGCATACATTAACTTCGTGCTGGTACGCCAACAGAACGAGAAAACCCAAAAATAAAATTAGGCAAGCTCAATCTGACAATATTGTCGATAGGAATTTAAGGAAATATGTAACTGTGGATATTTTCAATAATTCCATTAAATTCCAAGCTTGACTCGGGTTCCGATCTTTCAACCATTAACTGGCGTACTTGGCGAAAATTAAACAAGCCGACCTTATTAAAAACGGATAAAACAGCAAAATCCGTAACTGGCGAAAAATTAACATTTTAGGCGATTTTCTATATATATATATATATATATATATATATATATATATATATATATATCTCAGTGTAATACTTACAGTAACACTAAATGGAGTTACCAAAAAGCTCAAAGCCTACGTATTGAAAACTTCAGATAACTTATTTGGAACAGATTCGATAGAAAAATTCGATCTTTGGGATTGCCCAATGAGTACATTTTGTCGCAAGATACAAAGTACAACGTCCAATTTAGTAAATCTCAAAAGGAACTCAAACAACAATTTCCCCAGGTTTTTTCTGGCGGCCTTGGGAAATGTACTAAAATGAAAGCTAAGTTCAAGGTGAAGGACGGTGCACAACCGGTATTCAAAAAGAAACAGAATGTCCCTTTCGCTGCTCTAGAACAAATCAACAAAGAGTTAGA